CGTCGTAAGGGTATAGAGTAGGGATGTACAACACTCGATCACACTCATATAAGCGTGACCTGTACACTCGTAGTATAGATATACATAGGATACGAGAAAGAATGAAAGTATACTTCTTTTTCTCGCATACTTAAAGCTTATATCATTATGATATCTATGAATTTTAATTAAATTTAATAATGCTTATGAAATATTATCTATATTTTCTAAGATCCACTGTTTTGTGCATCTGTAAAGTTTTAGAATAACAGAGACGCAATCCACATCTTATTTTGATTTTATTTCTTCTCTTGTTTGCACGGTGAGCACGTTTTTTTTTTTCGTTATTTTTATTACTTTTCACTTCGTATTTACGAAGCACATTAATATCACAAATTATCTATCACACCTGGTATGCTAAGTTAATGGAACGTAGATTTATTTTGTAAATATTCAATAGACACATACGTCATGAAAAGACAATTTACAAGGACAATATCGTGTCGCATCATTGATCTCGCACGTTTACATTATAGTTATTCATTTCGAATATAAAAATACAATCATTTACTTATTAATACTTCGTCATTATTAACGTACGTTCTATAAATAGTTTTGAAACTTCCTCAAAATAAGTAAAACAAGTTTGTATTTCAAGTTATAATAAAATAAGATTTATTCGAGATGTATGCTATAAAATTGAAAATTAAGTTACTACTAGTAATGATATTACTTTATTTACATGATCGAGAATGTACACCTATTAGTAAGGTTTTTATATTACAAAAATAAAAATAAAGATAGAATAAGCATAGATTTTCTTTTTGATATCAATGAATAGACGCATATTTGATATTTATAATTATGTATGGTCAGAAGAGTGACAGTTTTTAATTTGATTTTATTCAGTCTAGTTACTTAAATATTTAGTTTCAATTTACCCCATGACCTTAGAAGATTACTATAAGAATAATATAATTTTATTTCGATTTCTTTATCAGAAAAAATATATTATCTAAAGTTCGATCATACGAGTTCGAAATGTGGACTTTAGATTCATATTTCCTAAGTTCTACAACTTTTGATTAAACTTGACAAAATACTGTCTTCTAACAAAATATTTTTCTCCGGAGGATTAAACTAAAACTAAAGAATATTCATTCTATGCTCATTATTTTTTAAGTTGATTTCTAATGAAACTATGTTTTACATTACATAAGTCATTGCTCGTATAAGATATCGTTATTTTCTTATGAGTTCTTTATAACAATCGAAAAATCTTTGTAGTGGTAGTTTAGTTATTCTCGAGATGTTATATAAATTACTGTGTCTATTCATATTCTAGGACTTATGAATAACAATAGTATTGATCTAAAAACATTGTCTCAGACTAAAGAGGATACTCTTACTGTGACTGATGAACCATCTTCGTCTCCGAAACCAATACCAGATGTTCATGATTCATGCTCAACTATCAAAGCAACTGAACGCAAGCTTAAACGAAAGCTAGATTTAGTTATTCTTCCTTTGACTACTCTTCTCTACTTAGCTGCCTATCTTGATCGAGGCAATATGGGTAATGCAAGATTACAAGGTTTAGAAAGTGACTTGATGGGTAGCTCTGATACGAAATTTTCCATTGCACTTACTTGTTTCTATATTACATACATTGCCTTTAATGTACCTGGCAATATTATGGCTAAAGTACTCCAGCCTCCAACCGCATTGGCTATTGCTGCATTCATTTGGGGTACTGCATCTACTTTGCAAGCAGCAACATTTAATTTTCCTGAAATTATCGTATGTCGTCTCTTTATTGGTATTGGTGAGGCGGGCTTTGGTCCAACTGTACCTTTCTACTATTCTATTTGGTACAAGCGTGAAGAGATTGCCATACGCAATGCATTCTTTATAGGTTGTGGTGCATTGGCTGGTGCATTTGGTGGATTAATTGCTTACGGTGTTTCATTTGCGAAAGGTACTAGTATCGGTACCACTTGGCGAATACTATTTCTTATCGAAGGTCTTCCAACAATCGTACTTGCTGTGCTCATTTTTTTCTTTTTGCCAAATAGACCTGAAACTAGTAAATATCTTACTGAAGAAGAACGTACATTGGCAATTACACGTCTAGCTACTAGTCAATCTGGCGGTGCTCATACAAGGAACTTCCAATGGTCAGGTTTTCGACGTGCTGTTACAGATTATAAGATCTATGTGTGTGCTGTCATCTACTTAGGTATTAACTTGAGTCTTGCTTCTCTCTCTGGTTTCTTACCAACTATTATTTCATCTCTTGGCTATAGTAATGCTCAAGCACAGCTCTACAGTGTACCACCATATGCTTGTGCTGCTGTATTCATGATTCTCATGTCGTTCTTCTCAGATCGAACTGGCTGTCGTGGTTTGTTTGTTGCGAGTGCGATGATGGTCTCATGTACAGGATGGATTATTCTCTTGACTGTAGTTAACAATCAACATGTACGTTATTTTTCAACATTTCTCACAACTATGGGTAGTTTTGCTGCAATTCCACTTACGCTTAGTTGGGTCTCTAATAATTGTGCTAACGAATCTCAGCGTGTTGTTGAATTAGGCATGCTCAATGCTTTTGGACAAACATTTGCCATACTTGCTGCCTTCATTTTTCCTACAACCGATCAACCATATTGGTATAAAGGCTTTGGATTAAATTTGGCTTTCAATGCTCTATCTGCCTTGCTTGCTATTATTCTCTATTTGATTCTACGCTTCGAAAATGCTCGACGTGATAGAAAAGAAGGTGGTCGTTCTTCTGACTTGACAGATGTAGACGTCTACACGTACAACGATTTAGCTCCCGGTTTTCGCTACGTAGCATAGAATGGAGCTTTTCATATACTTATGTACAAATCAAAACAATCTATCTTCCATTTTTATTGTCTTTTCTAATGTTTATCTTTTGACTTTATTATGAATATTATTACATCTCTTTTGAAGTTCATTGCAATTTTTCTTTCTCTTTTTCTACAAATCATGTATTCTTTTTCCTAGTCATGCACTAATAAATGAATCATTTGATATCGTCTCTTTTACTATGACTATCGATTGTATGGTTGTGAGGATGTGAGTGTAAATACAAGTGAAATATAACATCTACGCTCACGCCCAGTTTAGTTTCATTGAGTTATGCAAAATAATAATTAAAAAACGAAGTATATTAGAAAAGAACCATAATATAAACTTTCGGTAATGTATTTTAAGAAATAGATATCTAAGAAGTAAAAGAAGCCACTATACAATATAATACAAAGACTGTTAACTACATAAATATGTCCTAGCAAAGTTACAATTTTCATATATTTCTTTGTCGAAGGTATTCTAAATGATTTTAAATATGTTAAATATATATGTATCTTGAAAAACAACTATCAAATGTTTAATATAAATTCATTTGAAACTTTTCTCTATTTATTTATTTTGACTTTTTTATTATTTCATACTTAATGCTCCTAAATACATTAATAATAACTGTTCTTTTGTTTTTTTCTCGTCAGGTGCAAAATGAAGAATACAGAATATTTGTTTATAATTCAATGCTGTCACATACATACGTCGCGTTTATCTTCACAAGATGTAAACGTGTAAAAAAATATAGTTATAAGACAGAGAGAGAGAGAAAGAGGTGATGAAGTATTATCTCAAGAATTTATTTCTCTTTTAGAAATATAAAAGAAAGAGTGAATACTACATCATCGTAAGACTAAAGATCTTTTATCTCAATTACTAAAAATAAATATAATCATATAAGATCGAAAGTATATATTTAATTACATATTTAAAAAGAATCTCATGTTAAATAATAAGTGATTATTGTAACATTTGAGATTGTAGAAAAATCCCATAATATAAAACAAAGAAAAGAAATAAAAATGAAATCATTCTAATATTATTCTCAATTTTAATTTTTACTTTTAGACAATTGATATTTCTAATCTCATGAATATTAATATATCTTTATTTGAATAATATTACTTCAAAGAAACTTATAAACTATATCTTTTTTAGAGATGTAAACAAAAACTCAATCGGCTTTTTTGTTTTGTTTCAAACAATGCTTGTCATACATTATTTGCTTTCAAAACCATCCATGTATATGTCTTTTTAACCTCACAGTAAGGTAATATTCATTCTTTCTTTTGTATTTCTATAGGAAAAATAAACGATAGAAATAATACTTTATCACCTCTTGCTCTCTCTGTCTTATTACTATACTTTGTCATACGATTATATTACATGAAGATAGACATGACGTATGTATATGACATCACTGAATTATAAACAAATATTCTTTATTCTTCATTTTGTACCTGACCAAAACAACAACAAAAACAGATATTATAAACGTATTCAGGATGATTGAGTATAAAATAATAAAAAGAAATCCGAGTATATAAAGAGAGAAAAGTTTCGAATCGATTTATATCAAACAATTGATCCTTGCTTTTCAAGATAAATATATATATATATATTTATATTCCTTATATCGACAATGGCTACTCATGATAAACTATCATTTCTATTAATATTATGCTTCTTTGGACTTGTTATGCATCTATGTTCTGGTTTTGTTGTACCTTCAGAAGATTGTAGCAATAATGGATACACAAGTAAGTAAAGTATTTATTGTTATTATGACTATTTTATTTCCATATTTATTTTAAAACAGAAGCGGAATTGGACAACTCCTGCATAGGCAAAAACGTAAAAGATGAACAATCAACAATATGTAACGAGTATTGTGAGAACGTACCTACGATTGGTACCTCAAAGTTGCCATCTCTACTCGCAATACTTGGGCCACTTGCGGTTAATAAAATACAAGTTGGATGTGTTGGTTATTGTTCCCAAGAGAACACGTGTCTCTGTGCACCTGCTAGTGACGCATTATTTGAAGAACCTGGGAAAATTAACGTAGCTGGTGTCAATCCAGAACAAACAATCTTTTTTTCAACTGTTTACATAGATGGCAAAAACGTCACACTCACTGATATTCTTTGTGAAGATCCTAAGTAAATATCATTCAATATAAACTATTTTTTATACACTAAACAAATAAATATTATAATCGCGCTTGCTATTTTATTCTTATACAAATATTTTTTTCTAAACGAATTTTTATTCATAATAAATTTCCATTTTCTTTCAAATACAAAGATCTTTTAAATAGCAAAAATATTTCCTAATAAAATTTACAATATTTTTTTATGTATATAACAAAAAACTGATTTTTCTCTAATTAAGATATTTTTTTCTAGATATGAATAGAAAAGTTTTATGTTTCATTGAAATGATAATGAATAAAAAAAATCTCTCTTCTAATTATATTAATATCTAGAGAATATACTTAAAATAGATAATTTGTATTTCGATAACTAAATCTATATTAAAAATCTAGCTACGTCATAAAAGAAGAATATTTTCATTGAAAACTTCGATTGTTAATAAAATAAATGAATCCGTTTTATAGATGTATTGAATCTTTTCAATGTTGATTTATGATGAAATTCATCTATACTAAAAGAAATCAATCCAATTATCAGGAATATCGAAACATTGAAAAAGATTCTCATATGATTTTTTCTATGTAAAAATAAACATGAATTATTTTTGAAAAACAATTTTGTTATATTAAAACAAATTTATTGAGTTCGAGAAGTTTTTGGTAATGGAAAACAATCGAAGATATTTTTCTATCAAAAGACGTTAATACAAGTGATACATGTAGTCAATCGCTTGTTTTAAAGCGTTCGAAAATCAACTGATATTGTTTTCATAGCATTTAGAGATAACACATTACTAAAAGTGATAAGAATCAAAACTTTATAAGATGCTGATTATTAAAAAGTCTTTTTCGATTCTATAATTCTCGCAATCAGGTTACTACAATTAATATTTTTTAAAGTCATAGACATACTTCTGTGTTACAGACAGTTTACATAGGTGTTTTATTGGTCTCATCTAAAGAACTATTTATTTCATTGCAACGAGCTCAGAAGTTCATAAGACATTGTTTATGATTTTAGGATAGAATAAAAGAAAAATAAGGTATAAAATCATTCTTAGACTATTCATAGATATTCTTGTATTATGCATCAGTATTTGTTTCGCTTTTTACAATTACTTTCATGGATTCTATGTTGAACTCGAAATTATACCAGATAGAAACAGAACCCCATGCTGAAGATCCGTAAAATGAATATTCAACTGTCCATATATTAGGATGAAGTTCCTTTCCTTTTAGAATCGTCGACTTCATCAAAAGCACTTCAACAGCATCGTCTGTTGTATTCGAAGAATCGATAGTAAATTTCTTTGAACCGAACCAGAATTCCCATTTATTCGTTGCAACCAATTTTCCTTGAATTCTATCTTTGCCAATCACAATGCTCAGCTGTGACATTGCTATAACTAAAATATAAAAACACAATTTTGAAGCATTCCAGTTCTGTATGAGAGATGTGAGATTTAAGATGAATTATAGTATGTGAATGTACTTTGACGAAAGTTCTTATTATTAGTAATAGCTAGAAAGTCATAGAATAGATTTCAGCGATAGTAACATCGTAATGAAATATTTTAAATGAATGTTCGTTATAATAACTCTATAGAAAATAGGTAAATTTGATGTATCCGCGAATAATCATTAGTATTGACTAGTATACCGTGTTGACAATACTAAATAACTTTCAAGATTAGAACAGCAGACAGTGAAATATATCTTAATACACTATTACTTTCAATTAGTAAACTTTAGGATATGGTTTATTCAAAATGATAGAGCTAAAAAAACTGTGTTATTCGAACAATAACAAATCTTTACGAGTGACAATGCAACCGACAAAACAGATTATGTTTTCATGAATTTGAACTATATATGAATATAATACTATTTTACTCAGATCTTCATTATTGACGAGAAAAAAAACTAGTGATATGAAACTCTTGAATCGTTCATAATATAAACAGTGAACCCCTTCCTAAACCTTAACAAAAATTCTTATTAATGCAAAAATACATTTCTAATGTCAATTTCATGACTGTGATATTCCTGTCTATAACGAAAGAGGAATAATACTTTTGAACAAAAGCTTTCATATTGTTTATTTATTTATTAACTAAGAAAGTTCTATACAATCGATGTTTCAACAGTCACAAATCATAGTTTTTTCAAAGCTTTTAACTAAACATTATTACCTGAGTCAGCAACTAAATGTATTAGTTTTTATAGTCGTATGAGTATTATTTCGTGTTTTTATATGTTATATTTTGTAGATATTAAATAAAAGAAAATGCACATGTTGTTGTTTGACTACATATATTTTATCAGTTTGGTATATGAGAGAACGAGGAAAATGAAAAAAACAGTATTCGTATGACTTTACCATCTAGGTCATTTCGCAGCACATCGTCAAGCTTTAATATACACTCTCTTATTTATTTTGAATTCATTCAAGACAATAAATAGCATACTTCTGAGATTACAGACACAGTCGTAACCATATTATTAATATAAAACGTAGAATATATGAACAAAAGTATCTTCGTACAGATGAGTACTTTTGATTTGTTAAAAATTTCAAATGTCGAGTTTTTCAGTAAAATCATTATTTAAATAATAATTATAATTTATTATATGAAGATAAAAATTTTTTGACCTTTTTCTGTTTACTTCATCAGAGTTCTTTGTGGAAGCTTTTTTCTACTGTCGATTTCAGAATAGATAGAAGAACTTGAAGTATACATAGTTTGACGCAAATGAGATTGTCCATATTCCTAGTAGATATGTCTAATAGAAATCTAAATCATAGTCAGTATTATCGCATTTTTTTATCTGTATCGAATGTGTTACTGTGCATTGAACGTATTTGTCTAACAGAATCTTACAATTTTTTCCCACTGCGTTATATGAGATGTTCACCTACTTTACAGATTTCGACTACATAACAATTTTACTCTAAAAGTCTATACTATATAGTTTGTCCGTCTATAAAAAGAATAGCGATTATTTATTTGTTCATCTTCTAATTTCCTTTTGACGAATAACTTTAATCAGATAAATTCATATTCTGTGTTCGTTCAAGCGCGAGAATATTCAAGATACTAAAAATAATTAGTATTTTAGGTAGAAAGTATAGATACTTATAGTTTTCTAACAAATTTATACATTCACGTATAATTCACAGAATTTTCTATTATGCAGATGTATCTTGGACATTTGATATTTAATACCCTATGATGATTTTTCTTTGATATCTATCTCTCTTAATCAATTTTGCTTATTGAAAATACCACAACTACGTTTATTAAAAGCTATTCTTCACTCTATTTCATGCTTCTTTATCTTTTTTCAACTTTTATAATTGTGCCTATCTTCTGTTGCATTTTCATCTTCTACCAGATTAAAACTACATCTTCCATTCATAATAATCTCAACAATCATATTATTATTATCCTTGTGGTTATAACTAGTTTTATTCATATATTGTTTGATATGTCATTGCAACTTGATTATTATAGAAGAGTCTTTTATTAGTACAGTAAGGTAGAACTTGATAATTTTATTGATATATGATCCAAGTAAACATAGATTAAGATTAAAAATCAAAAAGAAAGAAATCGCATATTTTATGTCTATATAGAATTTCAAATGAATTACACGAATTTTTTGATTCTTCTGGGCACAAATCGAATTCATTGAATTTATGGGAGTACAATAGATGAATATCTCAATGAAATTTAAATACTAACCTTATTTAACATGATCTTAAATTATCATCTTTGTTTCAGAAGTTTTTCATAATGTTGATTTCAAAGCATTGTTTGATTGAAGACCATGATTTTGATTCACAATCACCAGTCAAAGATTTGGTAAAAATACATTTAATTGTGATCTGGACTGTAAATATTTTCATAAGTAACTGTAAAGAGAAACCAAAAGATTTATAAGCACTTATGTCAATCAACACAATGCTCATACAAAAGCTTCACATCACTAATTATGTTTGTTTTATTCCATTAGCAGTATTTTTCCAATATGTTTATCGAATATTTCGGATAAAAAATATTAATAATTAGTACATATTATAAAATGAAATTATCTAATTGAACCAAAGTGAGAATGAATGTTCGAATGTGAATTGAATCTATTACTGATATCTGTATACATTCGCATGTAATCTACACTTACACTCTCGAATTAATGAGTTTTAGATATTTAAACAAAATAGTTCATAAGTTAGGATAGAAAATAAACAACATTTTTTTGATATCAGTAACGAATATAACAATACAAATCGCTCTAAACAATAATTTAATAGTAATTATCTATGCTTCTGGAAGACAGAATCTTATATTCAACAACATCTACTTCTCACATCAATTTTGATTTAAACATATGCTATAGATCATGAGGGAAATGTCGAAAGAAGAATTCAACAAAATGATGTGCCAAAGGAATTGACCATAAAAATTTCATGAGTGTGTTTCTCTGAGCCTAAATTTTGTGTCTTATACAATGCTACCATTAATAATTCGTGAAGATGCCAATAAGTTAATCAGAATTAAACTTCTTAAATGTTTAACTAGCAATGACTTGGTATTTATTTAGAAGAAAAACATTTTCAAGATTCAAAATCTGACACATCTACATTCACATCTTTCTATTTGCCATTTATGCATTGCTTTTTATATAAATACATAAATAATCTAAATAATTCTCCCGATTTCATATTTATCAATCTCATTTAATTTACCATTTTATCATATAGGTTTGATAAGGTATGCTATTTGATATATTTCAGAAGTTTGTTTCGATAGCATAAGCACATCAAAAATAAAATCATACATAGAAAAAAGATGTTTGATCAATTAACAATATAATTTAACTAAAAAAATGTAAAAAAACGAAGAAAATACGATAAATCCTTGTAGTTTATCTTAATGAGCTGGAAAATATTTTATCAACTTTTATATTGAAATGATCGGCAAATAACAATAATGAATGAGTTATAATCACTTCAACCAAGAAATTTTTGAAGATGACTTTGTATTGAACTACTAAAATGTATTCATTTATATATACTTACTTTCTCTGTTAAACTATACATATTTTCATTCTTTTCTTTTGAATCATTATTTGCAAATAACGTGTCTCTTACATATAAAACATAAGAAAGACGTCTTGATTATAGACTCTATCAGTTTGTTTAGTTTTTTTCAACGTGAAAGAAAGCCGCTTTGCGCATCACTGATCATTATACTAAGGAAGAGATAAAAATATGTACACTTCACAATGATACTCAGGATTTTATTCCCATCTGATCATTTGTAAGCATATTTAACGGTAACTATCATAAATGATGTTCAATGTGAAGTGATTATTGTAACTATAGACTGACTAGTAAATGTATAGATATAATTAAATATTATCATAAACCTTTATCAACGAGAATAGTAACAAAAATTAGTATTATTCGCAAATGCAATCGTTTTATGATTCAACATTACTTCTCGTATAAAGTTCAGTTTTCGATTTCATAAAGTATACAGTAGTTTTAATACAATTATATTAGAGCTATTCATATTTGAGTAAATTCTAACAGATCACATGTTCAGTTATATAACATTAATATGATAATCAAGTCACATTGAATAATCATAGTCATACTATACATCTCTTATTTTTGAACTAGGTTGTTATAGTTTAAGGAATATCGAATAATTTCTTACGAAGAAACTATTCAGTTTCCTTACATTTTACTAAATAGTATATTTAAATATTGTAGAGATATTATCCAATAGAAAGCTTTAAGATACTGTTTTCCGCTTATGTATGCAGTTAATATACGGTTTTAATTAGTTATAAAAGGCCTGTAATTTGAATTCTTATGGCAAATAAACCATCAACTTCAAATAAGGCAAGTTTGTCTCATAATAATAATGGACTTATTCATACGGTTACTGGTGAAAATAAAGAAAATACAACACTACTTTGGTTTGACCCAAGTATTGGATCCGAAGAAGATACGGAAAGAACACAACAAGAATTACGTTCAATTAATGATTTTGTTATTTTTCAAACTGATCTTGATAAATGTATTGCATATATTCAATCAATTGCAAATGAAAAAATATTCTTAATTACATCAGGATCAAAAGCATCAGAAATTCTACCACAAATCGCAGATCTATCACAAATCGATTCGATATTTATTTTTTGTATTCAAAAAGATAAATATATAGATTTAATTAATATCTATTCAAAAATTATTGGTATTTATGTTGAACTTGATGAATTATCTCAATCTATTCGAGAACAAGTTAAACTTGTTGATAAACAAATTCAAGCATTTAGTTTTTTTGATCAAAATCAAAAATCAACAAAAGATATATCAAAACAAACAGCAGAATTTCTCTGGTTTCAATTATTCAATCATGTTATTATTCGTTTACCAAGAAATCAACAAGCAAAACAACAAATGATTAATTTATGTCGACAATATTATCGTGGTAATATAAAAGAAATTAAATTAATTAATGATTTTGAACATGAATATCGTTCCGATGATGCTATTCGTTGGTATACAAAACAATCATTTGTTTATCAAATGATCAATAAAGCATTACGAACAGAAGATATTGATATGTTACATACATTTCGATTTTTTATTGGTGATCTTTCTGAAAGACTTGTTCGTGAACATGAAAAAATTTTATCATCTGAACAACAAATATTAACATTTTATCGAGGAATGAAAATTGATAGAGAAGAATGTGATAAAATGAAAGACAATCAAGGAAATCTTATTACAATTAATGGATATTTATCAACTAGTCGACTTCGTACACCAGCACTTACCTTTGCATTGAAAGCAACAAAACGAACTGATGTTGTTCCAGTTTTATTTCATATTATATGTGATGTACAAAAACTTGGTACAAATGTCGTATTTGCTGATGTTTCGAAATTTAGTGTATTTCCTGATGAAGAAGAAGTTTTATTTGATATCGGTGTATCATTTAAAGTTCAATCGGTTATGAAAGATGAAACCTATTCAAATTTATGGTTAATTAAACTGGAAACAGTTGATGAAAGTGCTCGAATAGTTAATGACTATGTTGAATTAAATAGAAAACAAGAAGAAGAAATTAGTGTAACTATTATATTTGGTAAATTACTTACATCAATGGGAAAATATGATCAATCATTAAATTACTTTCAAAGTTTATTATCTAATGAATCGGAAAATGAAGATAAAGCTCGAATATATAATAATATTGGTTCTGTCTATCGTTACAAGGCTCTTTATGATGATGCAATTAAAAATTATCAACATGCTATTGATTTAATGATGAATACGAAACCAGAACCACGAATAAAAGATTCAGCTAGACCAATAATGAACATGGGAAATGTTTTTCTTGATCGTTGTGAATTGGATAAAGCATTGAAACAATATTGGCAATCATTAGAAATAACTGAACAATATTATGGTAAAGAACATTTACAAACAGCGATTGTCTTACTTCATATTGGTGGTGTTTATTATGAACAGAAAGATTTTAATCGAGCATTAAAATATTTTAAACAAGCACTTGAAATTCGTGAAAAACGATTACCTAGTGTACATATTCGTATTGCACAATGTTTAACAGCTATTGGACGTGTCTATTCTGATATGCAAGAACTTGATCAAGCTCTTAGTTATCATAGAAATGCATTGGATATGTTTAATAAATTATTACCATCAGATCATAATGATATAGCGAGTTGTCTAATAAATATTGCTATTGTATTACATAAACAACAAGAGTTAAGTACTGCATTAGATTATTGTTTGTCGGCATTGAGAATTAAGCAAAAAGTATTTGGAGAATCAAATAGTCATCCTCAAATTGCTGATACATTACACAGAATTGGTTCGATCTATGAAGATCAGAAGAATAACACATTAGCACAAAAATATTATGAAGATTCATTAATTATGAATTTAAAAATATTACCAAATGATCATCCAAACTTACTACGATTGAAACAAGATGTAGCTAGACTTACAGAAAGAAACTAACAAGATGTTTATCACTCTTTTTAACATCTCATATCGAAAAAAATATTTTTTCATATTTTTTATAGACATAAATATCCGTTAATAATATTGATGAAATTGTTAACAAAAGCTAATGTTTATTTATTTTTGTATGAAAGGAATATATAAAGTAATAAATTATTTATTTTATTCGAATTTAATAACTAGTAGAATGATTTTTAGAAGTTCGAGAAATAGCAGAGATCCTAGCTTAGATTATGAAAAATCAAAGTATATCATTGGACAGAATTCAACAAATTCGACTTAAAGCACTAATGGACTATTATGAACTATGTATTGATGTAACTGCTTCAATCCGACAGTAAATTCTCATATGTAATATTTGTTAATATGTCGAACAATGAATGTGAACGTTTATTTATTTCTCATATGTTACAACGTCATATTTCGTCGTGTTTATCTACCTTCGATTATAAATTTTCACACAGACAGCAGTCGCTTGCTTATTTTTTTTTTCTTTCATTCCTGTCATCAACTCCATAATTATCGAGTTCCACGTGTGTTGATGTTGTTTTTTATTTTTTTTCTTCTATCGTGAGAACATTGTAAAAAATTTGTTACTATATAAATCAGTAGATTTTTAGTTATGTTGCTGCACATTTTGAAATCTCATATAATGCTTTATAATGTCTGTGTGATTGACTGAACTAAAAAACTGTTTTTATTCTTTTAGAAATTTGAATCAAAGCTTGAATAATTTTACTGTTGTGAGCACATTAAACATGGCAACGATTGTTGATCAATCTCAATTGTCAATGACATTTGAAGAAAAAATACATGCAACTATTCTATCTCAGCAAAAACGAACACTCAATTTACCAGCTGTACAACGAAAACGGAAAAAAATTTCCATAGTACCTGTCGGCTTGTCGAGTACAATAAATGATCAAAATATTGAAAATATCATCAAAAATCTTGACAATTATCTATTTGATGGTGTGATGCTACTTGTCTGGTGTAAACGAACTACATTTTATAATAGTGAATTCAAGAATGATGATCAGAGCAATAAAACATCGCCATTCTTTCGACAATGGATATTATTGTATTTGAAAAAGCCTGATCAAGTACTTTCAACACATTTAAATACAATTCCAAAATATGGTGGTTGGGGAGATCTAAAGGCACTGTATTCATGTGCAGATCACATGAAAAATCGATTTCCAATCGAATTAAAATTGCTTGAGAATCTTCAGGTAGCATGTGTCAAAATGATTGGTGATCAGTTGAAACATGATTATCAAATTATATCTGATAACCAGTCAGATGAAAATTCGAATGCAGAAGAAGTGTCAACCACAATTAAAATTCTAGAATCGATCAGCAATTGTGCAAAGGATGCTCCACGAATCTCGAACAATAATAAAACATTAACTACGAGCAAGAAGTTTTATTTGTTTTTACATTCATCTCAACTTATCTCTCATTTTGTTGTTTAGTTATGGCCAAAGAAATTGCTCTTTATCTACAGTCATTATCCAATATCACTGTTAATAACGATGAACAATCTACTGATTGGAAAGGTTATGCATATGAAAATTATAGATCTCTTATCTCAACAATTTGTCAAATGTTAGAAAAGAAAACATCTATTGAAAAGCAAACGAAATTAATGGATCGACCATTATTCTGTACAAGAAAAAAGCGAGAAGAATTGTTAGCTGCTCGACCCTCGTCACGTATTACAAATCCCGAACCACAACCCGGTTAGTTAACTTTTATGCTCTACAAGAAAGTTATAGATCTAATATCTATTTTAGGTGTTCCATGTACTTTGAAAGATCTGGAACCATTATTAGAACATTTGTCATCAAATAAACCTGGACCTTCAGATGATAATCAACCTATCGTTTTTCCACGTGGAACTATCATGTCAGGTGGACGATTAGATTTATGTAAACAAGTTGTAGGTCCACAAGGTGTTCAACCTTTACTTGACGCTATGAAGCATAGCGCATTTGTTACTAGATTATTACTTGGTAAGCATTCTAAATTTAACTTTATTGAAAAACGAAACCACATCATTTTTATTTTCTTCTTAAGGAAATAATATTGTAGGACTACCAGGTGCTCAAGCTATCTCTGAATACATTCGTTCTAATTCTTATTCAAATATAGATACATGGTACATCGCCTGTAACAAATTTGATAGCGAATGTATATCAATGATATGTGATGCATTAGCTACCGATACCAAAGTCAAAGCACTTTGGTTAAAACGAAACCCGATTCTAGCTGACGGAGCGGTTCATCTTGGTCGAATGTTAACAACTAACAATTATTTACAAATATTAGATTTATATAATACCGGTTTATTTGATCGAGGTTGTGAAATATTATTTAACGCATTGAAAAATAACTCTAGCTTAAAACATCTATATATGGATAGTAATGGTCTTACCGCTAAGAGTGGACAAATATTACGTTTACATTTTGAACAAAAATACAATCATTTAGAAACATTGTTTCTATCGTGCAATTCCTTAGGTGATGCAGGTACACAAGAATTAGCAGTAGGATTAAAACATGATCAATGTTTGAAAAGCCTTAGCCTATCATCAAATTGTCTTGGTTTTGATGGTATAAAAGTTTTGGTTGATAATCTTATTAGTAATACGACATTGCAACAATTAGACCTTGGCTATATGAAATCAACTACTTTGTATGAGGGTCTGAATAATATTATTAAAGATGATAGTGCTGCAGAAATTAGTAGATTACTACAATTCAATCATTATATTCGTTCGATTGATTTGACAATGAACAGTATTTCGGAACAAGGACTATTACAATTAAGAGATGCTCTAAAAGGAAATCAAACATTGACAACGTTAAAAGGATTAACATTCAAACGAGTACGCAATAAAATACTCAAACAAGATATAAAAACTATGATTGAACGTAATCAAATTGAATGGGGTAAACAAGTGCTTAATGCTAATGCTGATAATACAACACACCTATGTGATTCTGACTATTTAAAACAAGGACAACAACTCAATAATAATATTAATTTTCCTGAACATATAATAGAAATTATTAGTCATTACAGAGTACAATAAATCTATTAAATTCATTTAATAATCCTAAATTTAACTTTTTATTTTAATTAAGAAATATTTTTTTGTAAAAATAATATTAAATGATTTGCGAAAGCTTTAAAACAAGTGATTATGACTACATGTATTGTTTATATTAATGTCTTCTTACAGAAAAATATCTTCAGTTGTTTTCCATTGCAAAAACTTCTCGAACTCAATAAGTTTTGTTTTTATATAATAAAATTGTTTTTCAAGAAAACATCATATAAAAATCTTTTTCAATGTTTCGATATTTCCGATAATTGAATTGATTCCTTTCAGTATAGAATTATTTCATCATAAATCAACACTGAAAATATTCATGTTATTAACAATCGAATTCTTCTACAATATACTCTTTTTTTTATGAACTAGATTTTTTTTTAATATAGGTTTTATCTAAATACAAATTATCCGTTTTAACTATATTCTCTATATATTAATATAATTAGAAGAGAGATTTTTTTAATCATTTTCATTTCAATGAAATATAAAACTTCTCTATTTATATATAAAAATAAATATCTGAATTAGAGAGAAATCAGTTTTTTATTATATACATAAAAAAATATTGTAAATTTTATTAGGAAATATTTTTGTTATTTAAAAGATCTTTGTATTTGAAAGAAAATGGAAATTTATTATGAATACAAATTAGTTTAGAAAAAAATATTTGTATAAGAATAAAATAGCAAGCGTGATTGTAATATTTATTTTTTTAATGTATAAAAAATAATTTATATTGAATGATATTTACTTAGGATCTTCACAAAGAATATCAGTGAGTGCGACGTTTTTGCCATCTATGTAAACAGTTGAAAAAAAGATTGTTTGTTCTGGATTGACACCAGCTACGTTAATTTTCCCAGGTTCTTCAAATAATGCGTCACTAGCAGGTGCACAGAGACACGTGTTCTCTTGGGAACAATAACCAACACATCCAACTTGTATTTTATTAACCGCAAGTGGCCCAAGTATTGCGAGTAGAGATGGCAACTTTGAGGTACCAATCGTAGGTACGTTCTCACAATACTCGTTACATATTGTTGATTGTTCATCTTTTACGTTTTTGCCTTTGCAGGAATCGTCCAATTGCTCCTCTGTTTTAAAATAAACACGAAAATAAAATATTCATAATATCACCAAATATTCTACTTACTTGTGTACGTATTTTTATTACAATCTTCTGGAGGTACAACAAAACCAGAACATAGATTCATAACATGTCCAAAGAAGCATAATATTAACAGAAATGATAGTTTATCATGAGTAGCCATTGTCGATATAAGGAATATAAATATATATTTATCTTGAAAAACAAGTGTTGATTATATGATATAAATCGATTCGAAACTTTTCTCTCTTTATATACTCGGATTTCTTTTTATTATTTTATACTCAATCATCCTGAATACGTTTATAATATCTGTTTTTGTTGTTGTTTTGGTCAGGTACAAAATGAAGAATAAAGAATATTTGTTTATAATTCAGTGATGTCATATAAATACGTCATGTCTATCTTCATGTAATATAATCGTATGATAAAGTATAGTAATAAGATCGAGAGAGCAAGAGGTGATAAAGTGTTATTTCTATCGTTTATTTTTCTTATAGAAATACAAAAGAAAGAGTGAATATTACCTCATTGTGAGGTTAAAAAGACATACATGGATAATTTTGGAAGCAAATAATGTATGACAAGCATTGTTTGAAACAAAACAAAAAAGCCGATTGAGTTTTTATTTATATCTCTAAAAATGAAATATAGTTTATAAGTTTCTTTGAACTAATATTATTCAAATAAAGATATATTAATATTCATGAGATTAGAAATATCAATTGTCTAAAAGTAAAAATTAAAATTGAGAATAATATTAGAATGATTTTGTTTTATTTCTGATATTTTAATCTTTAATAGTTGATCTAGAGACATATTCATTTTATTTCTTAATTTCTTTGTTTTATATTACAAGATTTTTCTATAATCTCAAATGTCGATGATGATCATTTATTATTTAACATGAGATTCTTTTTAAATATATAATTAAATATATAATTTCGATCTTATATAATTATATTCATTTTTAGTCATTAAGATACAAGAATTTTAGTTTCACAATGACTCAGTATTCACTCTTTCTTTTGTATTTCTATAGGAAAAATAAATTCTTGAGATAATACTTCATCACCTCTTTCTCTCTCTCTACCGTATTACTATATTTTATTATACGATTACATCTTGTGAAGATAAACGCGACATATGTATGTGACAGCATTGAATTATAAACAAATATTCTGTATTCTTCATTTTGCACCTGACGAGAAAAACACAAAAGAACAGTTATTATTAATGTATTTAGGAGGATTGAATATGAAATAATAAAAAACTCAAAATAAATATATAAGTAGAGAAAAGTTTCAAATGAATTTATATTAAACAATCGATAGTTGTTTTTCAAGACAAATATATATTTAACATCTTTTAAATCATTCAGAACAACTTCGATAAAGAAATACATGAAAAGTGTAACTTTGCTAGGACATTTATGCAGTTAACACTCTTTGTATTGTTGCTTCTTTCACTTGTTAGATATGTATTTCTTACAATACATTATCTAAAGTTTATATTATGATTCTTTTGTAAAATACTTTGTTTTTTTAACTATTATTGTGCAGAAGTCAATAAAACTAAGCTTTGTGAGAAAGTCGAAGACATTAGTTAAATGTCATATATGATAATATTGGTATTTATATTTCAAAGAATGATACATGATTTGTAGTAGAATTAATGGAAGTTTCTATGCATTTTTACTTGAAAGGATATAAATAGATGGATTACCAGTGAGTCATAGTTTTGGTAAGTAGAATATAATTAGTTGTCTTTGAATTCAGAGAAAACTAAGTGAACAACAATTTAGTATCGACTAAAAAATATAGATGTAATTTTATAATAGTATATAAGTGAATTTTAAATTATACATACGATAGTATCTATTAAATTGTTGAAAATTGCATGCAAATAAAAGAATATTGAAAAAAGCATGAAAGTAAAACTCTTTGTGATTTTTATCATATTAGTTTATATAAACAAAGGGTGTCGGTTTATCTTTTTTTACCCACACTGATCTTCAAGATCTCTATGATTCTCAAAATTTGTAAGGTATAACTTGAGGAAGATTGATAGATGACTTCATATTTCTTGACATGCTTTTCAGAAAGAGCTAAAAATTTGTTATTTAAGCGTAAAATTTGACGTTCTATCAAATGGACTACTTCATTTCAAAATCAAATTTTTGACTTCTGTGCAGTTATCAGTAAACTAGTTCATCTTCACCTGAACTCTGTTAGGATGAAACAAAGGAATTAGACATATAAAAACAGAATGAAGAGTGCCTTAGAATCTGTTTGATATTTGAAATATTTTGTTACAGAATAATACTTTGATTATTCATATCTCTGGTAATACAAAATATTCTAGGAAAAATACTTAAATAATATCCTTTAGTTTATTACTTGGAAATAAAACATTTCAATATAAGTCAAATTAACAACAGAAAAAGAACGCATTAAAATAACGATATATTCGTTCATATCTACATCGTATGTTACAAATATGACTTAAAGTTCAGGTCGAGATACAAGTCTTCGTGTCGTTGAAGCATCATCATTTGTCTGATGAGTAGCATCTGGTTTTATCGGAAAAGATAATAGATCACGAATTTCACGAAGCACTTTTGTATGTTCAGTCAATTCGATGAATGCTCCAGGTGTGATTTTTATGTGATGTATTGCATCACGCATGTCGTTGATTATTCTAAGTAACAAGAAGAAAACGAGGCCAATGACAACTAGATACAATATAGCTTGTAAGAATTTGCCGTAATGTATGATAACAGGTGGTTCATGAATATAAATAAAATTGTTGATTATGATGGTTAGGTTAACTAAGTCCACTCCGCCAAGTATTAAACCGAGAGGTGGCGTCAGAATGTCTTCAACAAGTGACTTAACCACATTCGCAAAAGCAGTACCGATAATAAGACCAACAGCCATATCAAGAACATTTCCACGAAGAGTAAATCTACAGAAAGAAAATATTTAATTGTTGAATTGAAAATAAAAAAATTCTTACGTTTTGAATTCATTCCAGAATTTCGAACAATACCGACAAATTATGGTCATAATTAATGTAGTTAATTGCCGTACACCTTGCAAGATGATTGTCTCAGAATATGATAAAAATAAGGACGCTTTTAGTGCTAAAATACTGCTACGTTTGTCACTTTTATACTTGATTGAATCATTTTGGTTATATGTAAATACAACGGAAAACAAAAATATAAAGCAGCTGTTGCCAATATTAATTTTCAGAATAAATAAAACTTTTTATTGTATTCAGCGGTCGTTAAAAGAAACAAAATTATTTTACAATCAAAAAGGACATTAATGACAATGAAAATAAGCAAAGAATCTTATTTGATACAATCTGACACAATAAACTTGATTTACTGTAAATATTTTGATGTATTTCGATGATTTTTAATCTTTTTTCAATAATAACATATCATCTATTTGTTTGAAACAATTCAAAAGCAAAGTCATTAACAATAAGCTCAAAAACCTATTGTAAAAACGACAGACATTCTTATAATATTGATGAGTATACATAAATGACGTAAGAAGTAGATGTCATATAGTATAGCTTTCCTTTTTCTTCGATTCATCAATTTAGTCTTTAATGCTACTTATGGCTTAACAATAGATGGAATGAATGTAGAATATAAATATTTTATTGATTCATAATTCGAACTCAAATGTTGCATAAGTATCGGAAGAAAAAATTTGCCACGTGCGATTGAAGAAGTTTAAACTGAGAGAAAACGAAATGCCCAAGAAAAATCGATGTGATTTCTGAAAGATCAGAAGATGGATTATTCTGCCATGCATCTATCTTAAATTCGAAGTTTCTGACGAGAACTGACTTTTTTTAATGGGAATTATAAACGATTGGTGAGAACGTATGTAAACGCGAAACATTTAATATTTCACTTTTTTTCATTCTTAATGCATCTGCGTCTCAAACTTATTTTCACTGACACGCACATACCCTCTCCAGAATCTTTATTCCAGTATTATTTTAATTTTTCTTTTTGAAAAACAATAAATCTCGTTTTAAGATTTTTCTTTTTATAGACATAGGAAGAGAAAAAGAAAGGAACTGGTGAATGGCTCTCTGGCAACTGTTTGTTTGATAGACTGTTTAAATGTCTGTGGCATGACAAAATTGAAATTACAGCCGTAGGGTTTTTTTCATAAACAAAAATAGGTGATGTCGTTACTATAGAAATGCGTCAGAGAAAAAGGACTATAAAAGTAGAAAGACTTTACATCTAAATTCATTAAGCGACGGTAGAAAACAACGTTAACATCGATTAATATAGAAAACCAATAATATGTTCACCTTATCATTGATTTTGATTGGTACTGCTTGTTTTGTTGCAACTACACCAATTGCAAATGATCCATTTACAATTGTTAGTAGTGATGTTTCTCCTTCATCAAGACTCATTTCATTCGACAAAAGTGTTGATAAAATTCTTTCCTTTTGGACTGATGATAAATTGAAAGCAGCAAAATCGGTGATGCCAATTCGCAAGATCAATTCTCAAACAACTACAAAAACTGAGATGCCAAATAATGGTCCACGAGTTCTTGTCGACGGAACAATGGGATCATTGCAAAAGGCGGCAATATCAGCAGCAGTAAATCCTGATAAAGCCTCGAGTAGACAAGTATTCGCATCTACAGGACGTCAAACGTATACGACAGGCAAAATATTTTGGAACAATACTGGTAACAGTTATGGAATGTGCTCAGGTGCAATTGTTACATCCAACAACAAAGAAACAATTGTTACAGCTGGCCACTGTTGCTTTGATCATGATACAAATAAATTTCGTATCAGTCAAAATTTCATTTTTATTCCTGACTACAAAAGTGGAGCACAACCGTATGGAAAATGGGCAGCACGAACTATGACAGCATATACTGCATGGACAGTTAACCAAAACTTTAATTACGATGTTTGCTTTGTGAATCTCTATACAAATTCAAAAGGTCAACATATTCAAGATTTATTAGGTGCTGAAGGAATTGCTTCTAATTATCCACGAAATGCGATAACCTATTCATTTGGCTATCCATACAATTTAGCACAGGGTGAAATAATGCAGTACTGTTCAGGTAGCGCTGCAGCTTCGAAATACGGTAATGGTTATACTGGTCAGACAATTCCATGTGATATGACTGGTGGTTGTTCTGGAGGTCCTTGGATTCAAAATTTTACCGCATCAACTGGCAATGGTTATATTACATCTTTGAATAGCTTTTTAATTACCACTATTCCAAATTATATGAATGGACCGTATTTCGAGTCAAATATTTGGTCATTATATCAAAAATGCATGGTTTAATAAGATCTAAGACGATAAAAAAAGACAAATAAATCGTAGTTTTTTTCTTTTTTTTGTAGAATCTTTTTTTAATTAGTATTTCTCTTGTTTTATTACATTATTCTAATCTCGATTTTTTTATAATCAGTGCTTATATCATTTTTAGGCGTATTTTAAAAAATATGCTGTCTTAGGTTGGGTTTTATAAATAAAATTATTACTCAGAAAAATACACAATTGTTGTTTAGTACTTTCTTTGGCAAAACTGATTAATATAGTGTTGGTAGCAAGTTGCGTTAATGTTTTTTACAACGAAATGTATGCTGTCGATATGTTCACATAAGAGGAAAAAAACACTAGAATTTGTTTTGTCTGCTTCGGGCTGAATGGCTTAGAAACTGGAATCCATGTTTTTTTACTTTATAAGAGTAGAAACTGATGTTGAAGAAAAAAACAGTTGAAATGAGTACCGAAAACAAAAAAAGCGTAGTCATATTTTTCTTCTATAAAGCATTAGCATCTTGTGCGATGGAGGGTAGAATATAGATATATAAGTAATGATATGAATATCTTGTGGGTGTGGCTGAAAGATAGAGAAACAAGACATCCACACCCTAAAGAAACTTGTTATTCAGAATATTTTTGGCGAGATGGTGATTTTATACGCTGAATATATCGGTGAATAGTTCATTCGGTAATTTATATTAGAATACAATTAGGTAAATATATGAATTTATAATGAACGAACAAGACAACATCGAGTTTAGTTCAGTTTATTTCATAGTAAATAAAATTATCTTGTTGATGATAATGTTTGTACATCACTAGATGATAATTCTCTTGAATAAATGCGAAATTCATCCATCCAACCCATATATTGACCTCCTTGACTGGTTGTATTCAAACATGTTTGATTAACTGTAGTAAACGAATTACCTAATCTTATTGTTAACGGTGCAGAACCACTACGATAATTAGTCGATGCTGATCTGTTGAATAATGATCCATTGATATAAAGACTAATACCATTAGTTGAAGAAAATGTTTGAGCAATATGTGTCCATACATAAGTTGAAATCGACGGACCTAATACATTTATAAATCCTTTACTCGATTGACTTTGTGCTTGAATTTGACCTTGCGTAGTAAATCCTAAATATACCGAACACCATTTACTATAACTGGAACTATTTTGATAAGCAAGTATAATTGTTGAAGCATTTGTTTGAGACGGATTAATCCAAAGAGAAAAAG